CAATATTTTAAAAAGAAAAAAACATACAATACTCCATCTATATCTTAAAACTCATCTATTATCTCAGGCTTTCAATTCTATCGGGAACTGATGTTCTTCATTGAATTCAGTGTTTACTTTGAATGTGTGTTATTTCTGTAAATTGTCTTTATTTCTATCTATCTTTGTTTAACACTTTGGGCAACTGCTGTTGTATTAAATTGTGCTTCATAAATAAATGAATGAATGAATGAGGCATTTATATAGCGCTTTCATATGTACTACTGTACACCCAAAGTGCTTTACAATCATATCAGGGGTTCTGTCCTCAACCAGCACCAGTGTGAGCATCCACTGGGATGATGCGACGGCAGCCACAGTACAACGGCGCCAGTGCGCTCACCACACACCAGCTATAGTTGGAGAGGAGAGAGAGAGTGATAGAGCCAATTCAGTGGATGGGGATTATTAGGAGGCCATGATTGGCAGGGGCCAATGGGTGGAATGTGGCCAGGACACGGGGGTTACACCCCTACTCTTTACGAGAAGTTCCATGGGATTTTAAATGACAGTAGAGTCGCACAGTCTGAAGTGTTATTGCTCTAAAAGATCATTTCTCCACTGGAAACGAGTGTCTGCTTGTGTTCTGTCTGCTCTGCTGTTGTTACATGTCTCGACCACACTCCCAGAGTCAGTGTTAGACGGAGAAATATTAAGGTAAAATGATTCTGACATTAGCAACAGTTTATATTTTTACACAAAGTTTGATTTTACGCACTTGATCTGTTTTGCAGTTCCTGCCTCTGTTGTTTTCGCTCGCAGATTGCTGTTCACAGGCTTGCAATGCTTTTGGCCGCATTTGTGCGCAAACACCGTGCCAAAAGTGTAAGCGCGGAAAAATGAAAGTCTGAAGAATACAGATCTATTTTTGCGTTAGCATGAAGCTGCAGCTTCACAAAACATGAATTACACTTACGAATAACAGTTAAAAGCTGCAAATATTTTTTCCTTACACTTGAAGGGCGATTTATACACCTTTACAAATCTTCTCTTGCTCATGCACAATTATTTTACGCTTGCAATCTTATGTACTCTTTCACAAATCTTACCCTGCGCATGCAATTCTTTATTACATCATTTTACCTTCATAGAGAAAGTGAAACTATGCATCAGCATGCAGAATGTGACTGAGAGGAATGTAAACAAATTAGGCGACACTAAAACCAACTAAGTAAGTATCAGGAGCATCACTCATATTTCTGGTCCTTTGATCTCGATTTAAAAACAAGTCAAATTAAATGTTATGGTTGCAAATGCAAATTAATTATGGTTGCGTTAGTTTTATGTTCGATATTCGGCGGACTTTCGTTTCCCCTGGCCCTGTTCTATAGGCTCGGCAGTCTTACTAACATATCAGTGGCAGGATTAGTTTTAACATTATGTAGCATTTAGGGGTGGAGCCGAACCCGAATACGGTATTCGGAAAGGTACAAATAACGTGTTTTTTACGAATAGTTATTTCGAACAAATACTTGAAAAAATATTTGTATTCGGGAACAAGAAAAACTTTATATCAAAAAGCTGCGTTTCCTCACGAGACCGCAGTGCATGCACAGATGAGTGAGTTAGAGTGAGTGAGTGACGTTCAGGAAGAGGTGACTGACACAGGCTGCTCCACACAGCAACAGAGAGGGCTCGGCTGAGCGAAAAAACACTTAACTGCATCACTATTTTTGTTGAATAGATTTTTGTACCTTAACTGGGTTCCGGAGGCAGTTTATAACTTTCGGGAAGCGGAGTTTAAACGGGAGATTATTCCATTACGCTGCATTATTGACGTCTGCAGTCGGATGCTCTCATGTTCGCTCTGTTTACGTAGCTCTGTTAGCTCGGTAATTTAGACAATAGGCTGTTGACAGAGTAATGTTAACGTTCGGTTAAAAAGGTTAAAAAATGCTTGTGTAGTTGTGTCGAATTGTATGCACTTGTGGGAGTTATATGGTACGCAGACATCCCAAGTCTCTATTGATAGCGGCTCCCTAAAATTAGTTCAAATCTCCCGGAATCTAACGCGCATGCGAGAGAGAACATACTGTGCTCCAAACCGTGTAGCGCGCGCACGGAAGAGAGAGGGAGAGAGCGAGAGACCTTGCGTGTATGCGTTATGAAAGCTAGATTTTTAGGCCTATTTTGAATTTTACTCGAATACGAATACAAATACGAATACTTTTCCCCCCTCAACAAATACAAATACAGATACAAATACCGGCTGCTTTGCACACCCCTAGTAGCATTGTATATCGACATGAAATATTAATTTAAAATGACCTACGTGCGTTATTACACGAGAATGCTTGACTGCGCATGTCTTGGGGAACGTCTGCCAATTCCACCAACCGCGCGGTAAACTTATCATTTGTATTATTTAAAACAGTTTTTAACATTTAAAAACAAACATGTTCAAATTTCAAAGCTTGTAGAAGATTCTCATTGGTAGACTGGCTTACTACAGGTGAAATCGTGCCTAATACCTCCCTTCATGTTACAGGCCTATTTACAGTACACAATTATTTTAATAAATAAAAAATACTGTATTTCATCAAAAGGGTTTTTACAGGTGAGATTCTGCATTATTCTCCTGTAGTCAGTCAGTCTGTTCACTGGGAACCACAGCCACTGTATAAGAGCTCACCGAGGTCTGGTCTGTATTTTTTCGAGGTGTATATAATAACGGTTATGAAATAATTGCCTTATATAAGATTAACTCGACGATATTGCAGCATCAAGATAAGTTGATAATGGTCATAAAGTGCGAGATAAGAGATAAACATTTCATAATTGAGAGCTGTTGTAACTAAGATAGAAATGTTAAACGACCAACAAAAATAATCAGGCAAACTAATAAACTTTTGACTAATTTTACTATTTTGAATTGAAAATAGCCCTATATAATTTTAGTAACATTTATGTATGTAATAATTTTAGTAACTGTCAGTGTGAGAGGACAAGACACCTTAAAGCCTTTCTTTGTTACTATATACGCATAAGATTAATAATGAATTTAATAAACTTACTTAGCTTGTCTAAGAAAATGATTCATAAAACATATAAATATCAGTTGACCCCAAGGGCGTAGGTTTAGGGGGGGACGCTAGGTACTAGTCCCAATCAATATTTTGAGATGACAAATTTGTCCCCACCAATATTTAGCAAGCTCCTTTGAACTGCTATTTTGATATTTGCGCTGCTATTTGGATCGATTCCAACGGCCAGGACGACGACAGTACAAGATACGCCGTAATTTGATTGGCGGCGGGGTATCTGACAGGCTACACGCGCGGGCCGGGACTACTTTTTGTGCTTGCACTCACTGGCAGCGAGCGGGTGGTGTGTGTGTGTGTGTTTGTGTGTGTGTGCGCGCGTGACGACGCCGACGGTAAGTTACCAGGGCTGTCTGTCTCTCTGCATGCCAAATACAAAGGCCAGGGTAAAACATTTTAATATTCCGTTTTTTGCCCCTTTTTGTACTTTGTAGATCAGCTATGTCACCCAAGAAGAAGAAAGGGGACATACGAAGCTTTTTCATAAAGCAGAGTGTAAGTAGGCAAAATATAGCCACACAAATAACTAGCAGTAGTAGTGACTGACCAGGCTTTCAAATGCAGATTCTACTGTGGAAAATAGTTTTAACTGGTGATCCTGGTTACCCAGGATATTGTTACAGTTAAACCTAGCTTCTGCAATCTTTCAAGGTTAGGAGCATTAATTAGGGGTGTGCAGCACGGATAGACTCATAGAAGTCGCGCTATCATGATAGACGTTAGCAAGTCACTGAATGTTAATTAGCCTACCTTAACTTAGAATCTTGCAGTCATAAACAGTGGATCATCTCAGACATTTTTCGTTTCTACATTCTGTTTATGTAATGTATTTGTGAGTGTAGCCTACTTGCTAGACACATGTCTGGAAAAACATGTTGGCAATGTTAAAAAGGCAAAAGTAAACACTGTTGGTTATTCAAATATAATGAATCATTATTTGTTTGATAATATCCAAATAACAATATCTGGTAGGAGGGTTAAACTTGCTTTTTTTTAAGGATAGAATATATCAATAGAATTTGATATAGAATAGAAGATACATAATAATTTATGTTAAATAAAATGTTTGGTTGTTCAGCATTACAGTCTCAGGTTTTTATTTTTTGAGAGTGCATTTTTGAGATTATACAGTTATACTAGCTCTTTATTGACAGTATACAGGATGGTGTATCGGGGGTCAGGATACAATATGATGAGATGAGATGAGATGAGATGAGATGGGGGGGGGGGTCAGATGGGATGTCCCCACCAAAGCTGAGACCAAACCTACGCCCATGGTTGACCCTATGTTTATTTAAAAAAAATTAATAATAATGTTGTACTGTACAGGTGAGATGTTGGCAGGAGGTCATACTGTAAGTCAGACTGCCCACTAGGCATTTACTGTAACCTTGTAAAAATCGTAATGAATTATTGGACGTTTATATTTTTGGACTGAGTGTAATTTGCAGACGGCCCGTTAGCAGCCGAGGCGAATATCAGACCTGAACTAACTTTACTGCTTTACTGAACTAACTTTACTGAACTAACTTTACTGCTTTACTGAACTAACTTTACTGAACTAACTTTACTGCTTTACTGAACTAACTTTACTGCTTTACTGAACTAACTTTACTGAACTAACTTTACTGCTTTACTGAACTAACTTCACTGAACTAACTTTACTGCTTTACTGAACTAACTTTACTGAACTAACTTTACTGCTTTACTGAACTAACTTTACTGAACTAACTTTACTGCTTTACTGAACTAACTTTACTGAACTAACTTTACTGCTTTACTGAACTAACTTTACTGCTTTACTGAACTAACTTTACTGAACTAACTTTACTGCTTTACTGAACTAACTTCACTGAACTAACTTTACTGCTTTACTGAACTAACTTTACTGAACTAACTTTACTGCTTTACTGAACTAACTTTACTGAACTAACTTTACTGCTTTACTGAACTAACTTCACTGAACTAACTTTACTGCTTTACTGAACTAACTTTACTGAACTAACTTTACTGCTTTACTGAACTAACTTTACTGAACTAACTTTACTGCTTTACTGAACTAACTTCACTGAACTAACTTTACTGCTGAACTAACTTTACTGCTGAACTAACTTTACTGCGCTCCCGGAGCTGTCCACTACAAGTGCAAAGTCAAATGTAAATGCCGTTCTCAGAGCAAATGTCTGTTAGTTTGTGACAGGAATGCAGAGCAGTCGAGAGGAACATGGACTCCAGCAAGAGGTGAACACAAGCAATCATAACACATCACAGTTTATCTTCATATCAATGCCTGCACACTGACCGATTGCAATTAGATTGATTAGTATTTAAATTCTTGACAACATGTTACATTTACTAATAAATCAACATGTTAAATGTGCTGTTAGTGATTTTAATCTTAGCATTTACTAATACATTATTAAAATCAAAAGTTGTATTTGTTAGCATTAGTGAATGCACTGTGAAATAACATGAACAAAAAGATTAAAAGATTAAACATTGCTTACTGTGTCATGTTAGTTAATACAATAACTGTTAACAATGAGATCTTATGGTAAAGTGTGAGCTTTATTTGTGACGCTCTGGATAACATCATCAGCCACTTATTTTACTTCTTTTTTTTTTTAGAGATTAAATAAAATTTACAAATATATCTGTCTAAATATTTAAATACCTTCTGACCATCGCATCCAAGCATCCTAATTTGAAATAATTTTTCTTTCTAAATGCATACACAGTTATGATAATACTATTATTGTTCAATACTATAAAATTGTCAATGCATAGTTTTTTGTTTTTATGCCAACAGACATTTTAGTATCTCAGCATAAATCATAATCTTGACCGATATTTTTTCTTTTTACTCCTGTTTTTCCCTATTTCCACATTATTGCATCTGATATTCAACAACTTTAGTCTAGATCAGTGAATATCAAGCTTTTTGACTCATGGTCAAAGAGACAATATAGCTGCTCCAATATAGCTGCTCACAATAGCTGCTCCAATTCAAGTAAATACATAAAATAATTATAAATATTTTTTTTTCAATCAAAATTGTGATAACTGAATGTTATTTAAGATTTAGACATTTAACTACCCATTAATGTACATAATATTTTTACAGTTTTTTTTAAAGTGATGTTTTTTTCACAAACGGTAACAGTATTAAACTGCTGTTGTTCTTGTGTGTTGTTTAGAAGCCCCGTCTCCCTTCCCCGGAGCCCAGCGGTGTGTGTGTGTCGCACGCTTCGATGGATCCTCCACCCAAACTCAGCTCGAAGAAGCGGAGGCGGGGAACACTGCTGTATGAAGATGACAAAAGAAAGTCAGTGGGGTTTACATGGATATTGCAGACTAGTCAAGTCACATTTAATATTCAACAATATTATTGATCTGCCTTACTTAAGGTGGACGTTGATGCATTTTTCTTCTAGAAACAAACTTTGTTGTATTATTTTCATGTTATCTCTGTGAAGCTGCTTTGATACAATCTGTAGTGTAAAAAGCGCTATATAAATAAAGGTGACTTGACTTGACTCAAGTACATTACATAACTAGTACAAGCACTATTACACAAACACTGAGTAAACGTTATTTTCACATCTGTGATTGTGTTTCATATCAGTATTGATTAACCCTGTAAAGCGTGATGTATAAAATAAAAGTCAATTGGAATTAAAATGGAACAATTTATTGAACCTTTAGACAAAATATGCAACAGAAGTTTGCATTTTTGAGTATTGTATTTGATCCATAAGGCTTTTATGGCTCATATAGTCTGAATAAAACTGAGCCTTTATTCTCAATATATCAGAGGCCCAAACTGAGCAAATATATGGTGCAGATTTTGATATTTATATGAAATTCTGATGCTTGTAATGTAAATCAATGAGATCTTTATAGCAGATACTTGCAAAAAAAACATATAAATATCAATATCTGCCAATAATATGTCTTAGTAAGATGATATTTAAATGCTTAGTTTTATGATAAAAAAAACTAGTTTTAAAATGCAATGAAATTCTGTCGTTTTTAAATGCAATGAATAGAATGATGATTTAGAGAACCTTCCTCAAAAGCCTGACGATCATATATGATACTCATGATAATAAATATAAATAATGTCTGGATAATCAAGTAAACCTGCTTCAGTCCAGTTGAAATATTACTAACAATATTAAAGTTGTTCTTACATTTAGAGCAGAAAGACAGCCCAGCTGGCATTCGACTGACATTAAACGTTTAAATGTGGTTGAAATAATGTCAGTTTATGAAAAAACATTAATTCAACGTTAAAACAACGTTGAACACCAAATAGTTGAAGTTGTGTTGTTGACTCACTGCGGATTCAACATAGAAATATAAAAAAAAAATTAGTTGTACGTCAAATCAACATTACTTTTACAACCATGACTTTTAAACATTTTGTTGAAATATATCAGTAGAAAAATAACGTTGTTCCAAAATCCAATTTGCAATCTGATTTGCAAAATCTAAACAAAATTCAACGGTTATCCAACACTGGCACCTGACGTTGATTCAACAGTGACTCGACGTTAAAATGCCAGCTGGGAGGTGAAGCACGAGATGAAGATGGACGTTTGTAGTTAAACTCCCACGTTAATCACGATTTTATATAGAATAATGTACTGAACATATAATGGCATAGATGCTTCAAATGTCCCACCTTTCAAAATTAAACTAGGCTCATTCAACTCATGGCATCTGCTCAGTTTTCCAGTTAGAAATATGCTCATCATCTGTTTGTTTTAACAGGAGATCCGTCTCGCCTTCACTTGTGAGCTGTGTGTCCGACGCGTCGATGAATCCTCCACCTAAACTCAGTTCGGGAGGCTCTTCTGCTAAACTGAGGTGAGGAACATCTCCTGGATGAAGCATTAATATCAGATTATAATAGTGACCATTTAAAGAGCACCTATTATGCTATGGCCATCTTCATCTGTGTTTAGTGTGTGATGTTGCTTTTTGAGCATGAGCGTTCTTCTTTATGTGAGTGTCAGTGTTCCTGAACTCCTGAAACGCCTCCATTAGTCTTGAGTTTCTTCCGGGAACGAACACGTCACAATATTCCTCACTATAATAATTTATATGCAGAATAAAGGGGCGGGGCCTGGTTGAGTTAGTTAGTAGTGTGTTAAACTGGCGGTTATGGAAAGGAGCGGGACATTTCCCAAACACACTCGAAGCGCTCGACCAATCACAACACACTGCTCCAGCCGACCAATCAGAGCACAGTGTGCTTTCAGAAGGAGGGGCTTCATAGAGACAGGAAGTAAACAGAGCGTTACTGACAGACTGGGAAGAGAGGAGCCGCAACAATGGAGAATATAAGGAGAATAATCAACATTCAAGCAGGAAAACCTGTTCTAGTAGAGCCTGAAACTACATCAAGAGTTTATCAAGGGTGTAATAGGTCCTCTTTAAATGATACGTATTGGATAATCGGTCGACATTGTCACTTCGTGTTTTCAGCATTTATATCAAGGGCTTGTAGTGTTGTTCATGTACTTGATACTGAGGAATGGACACAATCAATGTATTAACATGCTTGAGTTAATATTTACATGTTCAGCTACAGTAACAAACAGGAGAAACATGGCGAGATGTCGCTGGATGCCATCTTCAGGGTGAGTAGTATTGAGTGTTTGTCAAATACTATAGGAATTATAGGCCTCTTGACTGAATATTATCATATTACTTTTTACATTAGGACTTCATGATCAATCAAACTAACATTGAGATTTGGCTTAGTGCTATTTATCAAATTTCAAAAGCTGCGATTGAATTAAATAAATGTGTGCGCTGTGAGTTTCAGAGTGAAGGACGACACTGTGTTTATTTACACGCGAGCGGCTCGTGATCCGGTGTTTTCAGACTCTCTGTTCACAGCAAATGCTGCATGTTTTAAGTTTGAGTCACTTTAACATGCAATTGAAAACAAAACGTGCGCAAACCATCTTCACATACTTATAATGAGAAACTCTAATCATCAGAAGAGACACTTTAAGGCTAATAATAATTTATTTTTACAATAATTTATCATTTTAAAATAAAGAAATGAAGACAGCCATAAATATTAGTATTAGTTGTATTGTAAAAAATAAAAAAATAAAAATTATTCTACAATTATTAATTTGAGACATTACTCCTTATATAGAACCTTTTTGGCAATTAAAATGAGTCGAGAACCCTAGAGTTCTATATATAACCTCATTGAATCTTTTTGTTCTGTGTTGTCTAGATATATTTACAATGTGTTATTGAGTATATAGCGAATAATCGCAGTGATTTCTGATTTCAGGAGCTTGAGGACACAAACATCTCTTTGATGAAGAAAGAGCTGAGCCGGTTCAAGAAACTGCTGAGGCCAGATTTCCCAGCATGCTCTGTGAGTGAGGAGGAGGAGGATGATGATGATGAGGGTCAGAGCCGAGTGAGGGAGGGAGTTCTGAGGATGTCGCTTCAAGTCCTGCGGAAGATGAACCAGACGGACCTCGCTAACACACTACAGACCAGTACGAGACCCATTTGAAACTCTCTTTGTGTGGAGGCATATGGTAGATTGTGTGCAACGGGGTTTTCAGCAAAGTTTTGATCATTTAAAGGCCTTTGCATATCAAATACAGTATGATACAGCAGGCTTTATATGGTTAAGCTTTTGAGTCAATTTGTTCACAGATTAAAAATGCATTGTTTTTCTGTTTATTTAATGGTCTACTAATTTCCGAATTGTTTCTATTGCATCTTGCAGAGCTGATCTCAGTGAGTCAGCAACAACTGAAGTCCAGACTGAAGCAGAGATTTCAGAGAATCAGCGAAGGAGTCTCTAATGGAGGGAACGTGACACTTCTGAACGAGATCTACACAGAGCTTTACATCACAGAGGGGGGGACTGGAGACGTCAACGACGAGCATGAGGTGAGACAGATCGAGACCTCGTCGTCCAGAGATCTACTGACTCCGATCAGATGTAATGACATCTTCAAACCCTTACCTGGACGAGACAAAGCCATCAGGACGGTTCTGACCAAAGGAGTCGCCGGAATTGGAAAAACCGCTTCTGTGCAGAAGTTCGTCCTGGACTGGGCTGAAGGAAAAGCCAATCGGGATGTTCACTTCATATTTCCACTTCCTTTCCGAGACCTCAACTTGATGAGGGAGAAGCGGATGAGTCTGATGGAGCTTCTCCGCTGTTTTTTCACAGAAATGAAACCGATAGAATATAACGACTTCAAAACAATCTTCATCTTTGATGGTCTGGATAAGTGGCGTCTTCCTCTGGACTTCCAGAACAATGAGATTCTGTGGGATGTGACCGCATCGGCTTCAGTGGACGTGTTGCTGACCAACCTGATTAGAGGAAACCTGCTCCCGTCTGCTCGCCTGTGGATCACCACGCGACCAGCGGCAGCCAATCAGATCTCTCCAGAGTGTGTCGACCAGGTCACGGAGGTCAGAGGGTTCAGAGACCCTCAGAAGGCTGAGTATTTTCGGAAAAGGATAAAAGATCAGCGTCTTGCCAGTAGGATTGTCTCACACGTCCAATCGTTGAGGAGCCTGCACGTCATGTGCCGCATCCCAGTGTTCTGCTGGATTTCCGCCACTGTTCTGGAGAAGATATGTGAAGCAGATGGTGCAGAGATTCCCAAGACTCTCACTCAAATTTTCACACACCTGCTGATTGTCCAGACCAAACTGAAGACCCAGAAGTATGATGGGAAATGGGATCTTCAGGAGGTCCGAAAGAGCATCCTGTCACTTGGGAAACTGGCTTTTGAACAACTGGAAAAGGGGAACCTGATCTTCTACGAGGAGGATCTGAGACAGTGTGGCATTGATGTCCGAGAAGCGTCCGTGTGCTCTGGAGTTTGTACGCAGATATTCAAAGAGGAGTTTGGGCTGCAGTTGGAGAAGGTGTTTAGCTTTGTGCATCTGAGCGTTCAAGAGTTTCTCGCTGCCTTGTACAAGCTCCTTTCCTTTTCTCAGGACAAGAATGAGTGCTCAATGACGGATTTAATGAAGAACGAAGTGGACAGGGCCTTGCGGAGCGAGAACGGACACTTGGATCTCTTCCTCCGCTTCCTTCTGGGACTTTCGCTGGAGTCCAATCAGACTCTCCTGCGGGGGTTATTCACACCAAGAGAAAGCTCCAGTTGCACGCGGGACACGGTCGAGTACATCAAGAGTAAAATCCGAGAGAATCCTTCCCCGGAGAAGTCCATCAATCTGTTTCACTGTCTGAGCGAGCTGAATGATCACTCCCTGCTGCAGGAGGTCCAGACGTACCTGAGCCGCAGCACAGGTGCCCAGCGCCTCTCCGGAGTCCAGCTCTCTCCGGCCCAGTGGTCGGCGCTTGTGTTCGTGCTGCTGAACTCCACGGAGCACCTGGATGAGTTTCAACTGAGGGACTATGATCTATCAGAGGAGTGTCTTCTGAGGCTGCTGCATATCATAGTATTACTATCATAGTATTACGTTGCTTGTATAAAGAAATAAAAAAGTACAGAAAACATAGCTGATACTTGTACAGTTTTGATGGGTAAAAAAAACTTGCGTTTAGATTGGTTATCTAAAATGAAATAGAAATAAACCATAAACCTGTTTTATTTCATCTAGATGCCAAGGCAACATTCCTCCCCCCCCCCCCCCCCCCCCGTTTAGCTGAACTAAAACTAATAAAACTAATAAAAATGGCAAAATTACTAAAATTGTAATTAAAATCTAAAAATAAAAACTAACTATAATAGTGTCTCAGTGATATTTAGATAACACTGGCTTACATGCCCTGAAATTTTGAATGTACATTAAATTTATTACAATTTTGGATCACACTTTTTTTTTCTGTTGTTCTCACCTTTTCTCACCCTTTCAATGAATGGCTCCAGCTGTTTTTTTTGCAGTTTCATCGTTATTGTCTCATAGCAGTTTATATTATATAAATTAAGTGGTATTGAAATGAATACATAATATTTCAAATAATATAATTCATATTTATTATAGTATTTAAATGGTCAAATTGCATGACTGTGTCTTTAGTGGTTAAAATGTATTGCTTTTCAAATATATTCATGCATTGAATTGCTTAATTCAGACGTTTTACTCAGTGCATCAAAAATAATTTGTACTCCGCTGCATTTTTTTCATAAATGAAATGTTTTTTTTAAAATAACTAATAGCTTCCAAAGACATGTTAAAAGGTATAGAAAGAAATATTGGCTCTGTAACATAAATAAATAGTTAAATTAGGGCTGCACAATTACAATCTTAGTCCACATTACATTCAGTAAATTTTAATATAATAATAATATATTAGCACACTTATTATAAGACCAGATTTAAATAGTCTGAGGGTAAGAAAGTAGGGTCACATTCAAGGATTTCATGAACTGGTTTAAGTTAGTGTCTGTGTAAATCTATACTGTGTGCTGTTATTGGGGATAACAGCACAGAAATATTCTTTCTCTCCCAGTCTGAGGGGTTGTAATCTCACAGATCAAATCTGTTCAGCCCTGGCCTCCGTGCTCAGCTCAAACTTCTCACGTCTGAGAGAGTTGGACCTCAGTGACAACAACCTCCAGGTTTCAGGAGTACAGCTTTTCTCTGCGGGACTGAAGAACCCTCACTGTAAACTGGAGATACTGAAGTAAGACCCCTTGTATAAGTATGTTTGGCAGTATGCATCTAAGTGGATGCCTTTTTTAATTGAATGCAGTTTTAACAGTCGGGTTCCAGAAGTAAAAACTTCAGTCGTTTTCTCCATAAGGAAGTTAATTTTAATGATAGCTTATAAACCGTTAAAGTCAGACCTACTCCCTCACGAAGGATTGTAAATGATGTAATCGAGGCGGTTGAAAAATGAAATTTTGTAATATTGTGATTCTCATCTTAGCTGGTTGATTTGGTTCATGGCTTACTATGCTTTTAACAAAGACTATTTGAAGGGAAAAATGACTGGAAATAATACCGGGGCGGGACTGAGGCGCTGTATTGCGAATTGTGTTTCAGTCCAGTTTTTATGACATTTCTTTTCTCTCTAGATTTCTTATTTTCTGATATTTCATGTGTACTCATTATGAATAATTTGACATTTAAATCCAATGTTACTGCAGATTGTGTAACTGCAATATTCGAGAGGACAGTTGCGCTGCTCTGGTTTCAGCACTGATATCAAACCCGTCACATCTGAGAGAACTCAATCTGAACTTTAATAAACTTGGATATTCAGCAGTGAAGCTTTTGTCTGTTCTACTGGAAGATCCTCACTGTAAACTAGAGAAAGTACAGTGAGTGATATCTGTTTTATATATTTTTATTTAAATGTATACATTTTTTCCTACATTTTTTCAAAAACAAATACACAAAAATTGTTGGATTTACATTTTAAGCAGCAATACATCTTAATTAAAGAGTGTTTAGTTACATGTAAACACTGAGTGTTTCTTCTCTCTGTAGGCTGTATGACTGCAGAATTGGAGAGGGAAGTTGTGCTGTTCTGGCTTCAGCACTGATATCAAACCCCTCACATCTGAGAGAACTCAATCTGAACAATAATGAACTGGGAGATTCAGGAGTGAAGCTTCTCTCTGGTCTACTGAAGGACCAAGACTGTAAACTGGAGAAACTACAGTGAGTTATACTGTTCAATTGTGTGTAATTATTTATATATATATATATATATATATATATATATATATATATATATATATACCCACAAATGAGACCTAATTGTAAAGTGTTACAAAAGTTATTTATTATCATTTATTTTAGGAATGTTTAAATTGAAGTACCTTTTATTTTGTTCTGGTTATAGTTTTAGTTAACAATAAGAATCCTTCACCAGAGGGCAGAGATATAATACATAGTACATATGATAAACAGGTTTGTTAATCAGTATCTGACTCCTTGACTCTCAGTCATAAACAACAATTACTGTATTTTAAACATACCACTATCATACTTATAGCTAATTATGAATGGAGAATGAATGCTTAAATGTTGTTGCTTGGTGAGAAGAAAAAGAATTGTCATTTTGTCATCAGGCATATGTTTGTTCCCGATGTAAATGTGTTTTTCTTTATCTCTCTGCAGGCTCGATGACTGCAGTATTGGAGAGGAAAGTTTTGCAGCTTTACTTTCAGGTCTGAGATCAAACCCTTTACACATCAGAGAACTTAATCTGAGCTGGAACAAACCAGGAGATTCAGGAGTGAAGCTTCTCTCTGATCTACTGAAGGAACCACAGTGTAAACTGGAAATACTACAGTGAGTGATGTTTCATATTCAGGACTTCAAAACACAACCCCGCCAGCATTACGTGAAGAAATAAATTTGAACTAGATGTGTATGAACAGATTTCTGGTAGCATTTCTAGTGAATGTTTCTCTCCAAGTACTTTAGTGAGTTACTGTTAACTTCAACAGCCCACATTTCTAAATGCTCAACTGGTATCTTTACGAAGTGCATTTTGCTAAAGTTCCCCTCATTCTTATCTCTGACCTGCAAAATATGAGTGTTGAGCTGTAAGACTGTGTTCACACTTGGCAGGGTTGGTTGGATTAAAACGAACTGTGGTACGATCGTACTGTTAGTGAACTCTGCCAAACAAACCTTGCTGCGCAAACAAGTGGGCCGAGACCCCTGAAAAGGTGGGTCTCGGTCCACTTCCAAATTAACTCTGGTGTGGTGCAACATCCAAAGGCATTTAAATGGACCAAAAGAAGGATGTGATGTCACGAGATGCAACCCTAAAAAGAACAGAATGTTCAAGCATTCCTTGTTCTACTCGTCATAGTCGCAATGTTTCCCATTACAGTTCGGTAAAGGCATCAGAACCGTGTCTCCTCGCAGCAGATCTTCATTTGCGTGTGTGACGGAGGAATTCCTGTCGCTGTTTTGCCTCCTTTACCCATTTTATAAGCCCTTCATGAGCTCTCAGCAAGTAAAAATACCATCCTATATACACACATACAACGAGCGTTTAGCCCAGCACACAGAAAATATATTTTTATTGTGGTTTATATCTTCAAGTACAGTGTTAGAAATGACAGTGTAAATGCTAAGTGAATCAAGACTAAATTTATAATTTTCCTTTGGGTCCGGACTAAAATAACCAAGAGAAGTGAACTACAAGTGTGAACACACCCTGAGGGCCCTATTTTAACGATCTAAGCGCATGGTCTAAAGCGGAGAGTGCAAGTTCACTTAGGGCGCGTCCGAATCCACTTTTGCTAGTTTAACGATGGGAAAAATGGGCGCGCCAGGCACATGGTCTAAAAGGGTTGTCCCTATTCTCTTAATAAAAAAGTAATGGGTGTGTTTTTGGATTTACGTGCGTTAAACCAATCAGAGTCTCATCTCCCATTCCCTTTAAATGTCAGTTGCGCTTGTGCCATGGTGGATTCGCTATTTACATGACGGAATTTGATAGTGGAAAGAGCGAATGCTTCTCCAGAGTGCAAATGGATCTGCTCGTGCGCGAGGTAAAAGTGCGCAAGTAGACCATCTACGGGACAAGCCTGATTCACGATATCTTTATGTAGACAATAATAATCTTTTACATTGTAATCCTTTTATTTAAAATATTTGGTATGTTTGTGTGCTGCTGCGTCCCTGTGTGTGTAATAAGCAGAGTGTATGCCCGTTGTGGACCCACCTATAGGCGCACATAACTAACGTGCTCTTTAAATAACAAAAAAAATTGCGCCATTGACTTTAGACCAGGTTTCAGTTTGTCAATGGCGCAGTCTATTTATGTTGCCTAAAAATAGCAACGCGCCAACAATGCGCCTGAACACACCTCGTTTTCAGACCAGCACGCCCATGGGTGCACAAATGCATTTGCTATTTAAACAACGTGGCGCAGGACGTGAAAATGATAACTGCGTCGGACTGAAACTAGCAAAAAACACTTGGGTCGCGCTTGGCGTTGCATTGCGCCGGGTGTAAGACAGGGCCCTGAGTGTCTTTCTCTCCTCAGGTTGGAGTGCTGCAGTATTGGAGAGGAAGGTTGTGCTGCCCTGGTTTTAGGTCTTTTATCAAACCCATCACATCTGAGAGAACTCAATCTGAACTACAATGAACCAGGAGATTTAGGAGGGAATCTTCTGTCTGTGCTACTGAAGGAACCACACTGTAAACTGGAGAAACTAAAGTGAGTGATGGTTGTTAATTATTTGATCAAATCAATGTGTCTTATTGTAGTGAAGATAATGGGTAGACGCTCAGTCTAGGTGCTAGTTCTGGGTTTATCACCAAGTTCACTCAGGTGTGTCGGCCAGAACACCACTTAAGGCCAAATGTTCCAGAGTATGAAATAAAGAGCGGAGAAATAGTTCTGATTCTGTTTCTTTATTCCTCTTTCTTGTGTGAGTGAGTTTGAGGGTGAGTGTAATTCTGAGTGTGGTTTCTATAAAGAGAGAAACAAATTACAAATGAATAAATCAAACATATACATACACTCATTCCTCTCTAAGCACTAATATACATTACTAAACAAAAGCAAACAATAGTCAGTATATATAACTATACAGTATATCTCTTAAACTCTAATACTGTAAGCATAATATAAAGATTCAAACACTTATTAAATGGGATTCTCAGATTTTCTATTATAAGTTAAATTCCCACTAACATAGACAGCACTTACTGTCATCTATGATAATACACTTTATAGCTTCCAACTAACTAAACAGCTGGATGATTTTATTATAAAAAAAACCTGTACTGAATGCTATATTCCATTCGAGCTAGCAAAGCCTTGACAGAGAAACCTCGATAGCGATCCAAATAACAATATTTACCACCACTTACTTCTTATTTTACTCAACCACAAAGTACTGATCAATCCTAACAACAAATATGAAAGTATAAACACATCTAAACACGATATTACATATCGTTAACTCGATGTACTAAATCAGACGAGTCGAAGCTTGAGCGTGAAATGAACGAACGTGGATATAATTAGCACCACGGTCGCATAGCGACTCCTTAAACTCCTAACTCTTATCCACATCAAATAACAGAAATAACTAGTTTAACAAATAATACAATATCACAGATGTACTTACTCTTCTCATTTACGCACACTCTGAAGAAAGGTGCAGCTCACATCTACAATCCGACCGACCGACTGACTGACTGACTATCTCTATCGTACTGCATACTAACTGTGTGACGTCAGATAGTATACAAACCAGCGCGCGCTTCGGCTACCGTTACAAGCACTAATAAACGGTAGTAAACGTGAAACAAAGCCTAATATGGTCAACTATACCAAATAATAGCAACACTGACATAACTTTGGGGCCTTTTCTACACTTATATTTTTAAATGTTTCATTCTTCATCCTGTAGTGAATGTAGAATTTGGGTTGAGCAGTAAATGTCAGTCGTTCTCTTCTCTGCAGGCTGGAATATGACAGTATTGGAGAGGAAGGTTGTGCTGCCCTGGCTTCAGCACTGATATCAAACCCCTCACATCTGAGAGAACTCAATCTGAGCTGGAACAAACCAGGATTATCAGCAGTGAAGCTTTTGTCTGATCTACTGAAGGATCCACACTGTAAACTGGAGAAACTACAGTAAGTGATATTTTAAATATTATTTATATTTACATACTATGTTTTTCATATTTTTGGATATATTTAAGGTAACACTTTATTTCGATAGTCCACTCTAATAACTATAAGTATATTTGCAACTACATGTAAACAAGCAGTCATTAGATTATTAGTAGACTGTCAGCTTAATATCTGCTAACACCTTTTTTGAAGTTCCTCAACAGACATTCTACTGACTATAAGTAATTTTGCAACTACATGTCAACTTATTCTACTAAACCGAACCCTAACCTAACAGTCTACTAATACTCTAATGAAAGTTATTTGACATGTAGGTGCAAAGTTACTTATATTTAGTAGAATGCCTAAAGTGGACTACTGAAATAAAGTGTATTAAACTGAGAAATAAACTTTCTCCTCTACATTTTTTTACAACAATCATACATATAAAGCCAATTGCACACAAAGTAAAATCGTTTCTGTGGACTGATATTGTGGTTACTGTATGTTCAGTTCATCAGCATCAGTAGTTCGTATGGCTGCACGATCTAGGTAAAAATCTAATTGCGATCATTTTGATTAAAAATCTGATAAAAATTATCTGAATTGCTGTGTAATTTTGCCAATTATTTTATTATATATCAGTATGGCTATATAATAATTAAAAGCAATGCAAAATTGTTATAATTAATGAAACAAATGTGAAAAAATACAAATCAAACCAAAATAAGAAATATTACTAACAATACTAATGTTTATGGTTGTCTTAATTTCTTCATTTTCAAATGTTAAATGTAAAAGCAGCAATACAGCTTAATTAAAGGGTGTTAAGCCGTACATGTAAACACTGAGTGTTTCTTCTCTCTGTAGGCTGTGTGACTGCAGAATTGGAGAGGGAAGTTGTGCTGTTCTGGCTTTAGCACTGATATCAAACCCCTCACATCTGAGAGAACTCAATCTGAACAATAATGAACTGGGAGATTCAGGAGTGAAGCTTCTCTCTGGTGTACTGGAGGACCCACACTGTAAACTGGAGAAACTACAGTGAGTGGTTTTATTTTAGTGTATTTTCGGAAAATATCAGTGTACCGTACCAACATCAGCAGGATGTGTTTGTTTCAAATAAATACGTATACTTCAGTGGTTCTCAAACAGGAATGACTTAAAAGTATTTAAATTAAGAAATGATTATCATTATATTAAAGTAAAGTTACTCTAATCTAAGTTAAAATACTAAAAAGACAAAAAAAATCAAGACGTAAACTGAAAACTCGGCAAAATTTCATTTCAAAGATTGCCTCAGAGTGAAATGACTTGCCTTAAAGTGACTCTAGCTTGGTGCTAAATCTCTCTTTCTCTCTGCAGGCTGGAATACTGCAGTATTGGTGAGGAAGGTTTCACTGCCCTGATTTCAGGTCTGAAATCGAACCCGTCACATCTGAGAGAACTCAATCTGAGCAGGAACGAACCTGGAGACTCAGGAGTGAAGATGATGTCTGATCTCCTGAAGGATCCACAGTGTGAACTTGAGAAACTAGAGTGAGTAACATATTGTTTAACATAAGTTTTCATGCACAGTGTCACTCACTCCTGTTCATATGCATGAGTGTTGAGGCCTATTTCTCCTTCTCTCTGCAGGCTTGAGGACTGCAGTATTGTTGAAAGAGGTTTTGCTGCTCTGGTTTCAGGTCTGAGATCAAACCCCACACACATAAGGGAGCTCAATCTGAACTCTAATAAACCAGTGTTCTCAGGAGTAAAGCTACTCTATGATCTACTGGGAGATCAGCACTGTAAATTGGAGAAACTACAGTGAGTAATATTTCATATGTCTCAAAACCCATACAGACTTGATGATGGTGAGATCAGATCTATGTGTGGACCATACAGTTGGACAAAAATATCGCTGGATTAGAGTTAATGTCTGAATTAATGCTTGAAAATGTAAACTGATATTTCCTACTGAAATACTAAAGCAACAGTTATAAACAACTGTCTTAAAACAATGTTGGTGAAAATCTTAACATTAGCGTTGGATGGAAGTATATGTATAATTTAAGAGTGTTCAGCTGTAAGTGCCTTTCTCTCCTCAGGTTGGAGTGCTGCAGTATTGGAGAGGGAGGTTGCGCTGCCCTGGCTTTAGCGTTGAGATCAAATCCCTCACATCTGAGAGAACTCAATTTGAACTACAATGAACCAGGAGATTCAGGAGTGAAGCTTCTGTCTGTTCTATTGATGGACCCACGCTGTAAACTGGAGAAACTAGAGTGAGTTATATTATCATTATCGAATTAAAACAAGGCACAGTGATGCATTTAGCAGAGTTAGCATTTAGTTCAAGTCAAGTCATCTTCATTTATATAGCGCTTTTAACAATGGAGATTGTTTCAAAGCAGCTTTACAGAGATAAACATACATACAATTTAGTTCAAGTTAAAGGGTTTGTTGACCCAAAAATGTAAATTCCGTCATCATTTACTTACCCTTGTGTTGTCACAATCCCATAAGACTTTTGTTCATCTTCAGAACAAAAATAAAGATATTTTTAATAAAAGCTGAGCCAGTTCTGTACTCGGCTTTGACAGCTACGCAACTACCACTTTGATGCTTCAAAAAATTCATAAAGATATCGTAAAACTAATCCTTATGAATTGAGCGGTTTATTCCAAATTTTCTGAAGAGACTTGATCGCTTTATATGATGAACAGATTGAATTTAGGATTTTATTCACATATAAACATTGATCAGCGGACATAAACAAGATGTCACTTCCGGTGTGTGTTTGGCTGCCGCTTCACACCCGGGCTGTTTTTCTGTTTTGGTCTGGTCTTCTTATGCGTTTTATACACTTATAAAATGGACTTTGAAGTGTCTTCAAATGATGGACTTCAACTGCGTTTGGGTTTCTGTGATTCCCGCTGGTGCGCGGAGATGGTGTGTTCAGTTTAATTTATATGGATTACTTTTTACGATCTCTTTTTTGACACTACAGCTTATCTGCCTCCAGAAAAAGTGCTAAATATTTTGATTTGCTCTGTACTTTATACAAACAACAAGATGCATACTTCCTATTATTCCTGTTATGACCATTACTACTTAATATTATTACTAATAAGACCGTTTTCACTACAGTTTTATTATTAACTATGTACACCAGCGATGTATTCTCAGCTGGCTCCTGCTGGATGAAGTGTTTTGAGTTTTCCTCTTTGTGTCTGCAGGTTGTCTCACTGCAATATTCGAGACAGAGCATGTGCTGCTCTGAGTTCAGCTCTGAGGTCAAACCCTTCACACCCGAGAGAGCTCAATCTGAACTATAATCAGGACATTTAACAGTCTCTGATCTACTGGATACACATTAAGTCAAACTAATGTTACATTTGAAAAAAATGTGTAAATGTGTATAAACGTTTACTAGGTGTGAGTGGGGCACTACCTAAGTTGCGTTATCAACACTATATAGAGATAAATTGCGCCAAAATTCTGAAATCTTTGTAAGATATCACTGAACATTTATTTAACCATAGCAATTGTAAATTTCGTACTTATGTTAATTTTTCATCTCTGTTTTTGTGTTTATTTTTAAAATTAGACAAATCTGATATTATTGTTATCTCCAATCTGTTATTTAACAGTTGAAATGGTTATTTAATGCTTCGCTAACTAGCAGAAGACACTCGCCAGGGTTAAAGCCCAGATCTGCAGATGGGGAATGTTGTAACACTGCGTTACTATTAGAACTATGCTATTCTATTCTATACTTTTATGAATTCTATTGAGAAACCATAAGAACAACGGTAAATAGAGACTGAGAGTCAATGTTATATACATGTATTGTACATGTACATTACATTTATTTTCAATTATTAAAAAATGCCATTATTTTATATGAAAAAGTTATTAATTTAATTTTATTGAGAAAATATTTTAGTTTGTCTTGTATATATGCCAAAGATATACACTCGGAAGGTTTTCTGTTTCACTTAATTGAGTATGTTAAGGTTTTCATGTTTATGGTTGAAGAACCTAATGTATATATTTGTAATTAAAATATGGATTTTACAAGCATAAAAAAGAATATGTTGTCAATATAGGGCTTACTGTTTTTTATTAACATAATAGTAACACTTTACAATAAGGGTCATTAGTTCATCGCCTTCTACGACGAGATGACGTGTACAGTTAGGTGAGTGGGGAAAGAAGGCAGAAAAAAATAAAAAAAGGTCTATATATCTTTATAACCACCATAATCTTTATGGTGGTTTCTGTAGTTCACGCCATGTCACCAATAGGTGGCGTCGCGTCCATTGAGTGTCTTTACAAGCAGGTCGATCTGATTCATACACGACTATTACAAAAGCTGCGATCATTCATTTACATTTATTGATTTAGCAGACATTTTGAACAGGATGATCTGTGAATATTATTGGAAAATATGTATCTTCGGAAGGGCAGTACTAATTTAATGGGGCATTGTTATCCTTTTGTTAATGTTGGTATTAACTAACAATGAGAAATATATTTGTTACAGTATTTATTAATCTCTGTTAACATTGTCATTGTTAGTTCATATCAGCTGAGGTCCATTAAATAATACAACCAGGTATTAGCAAATGTTTAAATTAACATCAACTATGATTTTAAATGCTTTATTTTCATTGTTATTTCTTGTTAATTAATTGAACCTTATTGTTGCTACTAAAAAAAAGAACCAATTTTTCTATCGCGTATTTGTATAAATATAAATAAGGGAGACAAAAGGAGTATGCAATACAATGCACTCAGCTTTATATAGTTTTTAAACTGTCCTGTGTGACAACTAGCCCCGGTTTGCCCTAAGTTTTGTTTTATTTTATTATTATTTTTTTAACTTTAATAAAAAATAAAAACAAAAATATAAAAAACAGGCATCAAAGACAAAAGCTCCAAATATAAACAGAGAAAAAAAAGGATAAAAAATAGATATTCACAAGACACCAAATACAGATTCATAGTATGTGACTTTTACATTTTTCGCAACTTTAAGACTTCATTAAAAGAGTGAGTTCGTTACAGAAAACGTGTAGGCTATAAAGGAGGAAATTTGGATAATCGACATTCATGAATAAAGAATTTGCCGTTTGGAATAATAAAGTTTACAAAATTGTCAATACTTTTATCTTCATGAACATAATAACATCTAAGTTCCCCCCTGAGAGTGAATATGATGTGGTGATGACGTGTCTAGAGCTCATGTGATGCCGCTGCTGTCCGCGGTGCTGAAACCCCCACAACTGTCTTTCTGAAGCCCTGCTCTCAAATTATACTCACAATAAACGATGATTTATTGGTTCATAATATCTGATTCTTCTGTGGATCATCATCCGCGCGCGCTCAGGGCGGGTCGTGTGACGTCACGCGCGCGTTCATCGGTCCAGACACTCGGCGAGTCCGCGCGACCGTAACAGATATTTTGTTTTTAACCCCGAAAGCCTCTAAAAAAACATCAATTGAAGAGGAGCGAAGGGAATAAACAAAGAGTGGAAATGTCTGTGGCGGGCCTGAAAAAGCAGTTTCACAAAGCGACTCAGGTAAGAGCTGAATCCGTCCGTTATTCGCGCTGATGATGATGATGATGATGACACGATGGGTTTGGTCGCTATGAAACCATCACACATCAATCATAACACCGTTCATTTGAGTATGAATTCAGAAAACGAGCTTTTGTTCCAGAAGTAGACGCTTATCTGCAGTTAGTGTGGTCGTTTTTGAATGTATGAAAACAGCGCGAGACCTGCGGGTGACCAGACACCGTCACGTGATCTCAAATATTCACGCGCGTTATGTAATCGGCCGCGCGCGCTGAAATGATGCTCACCTGAAGAGAAAGAGACAGAATTCTGGGGTTTATTTGTAATAAGATGTCTTCTGTGTAGACACAAACCTTAAAGTCTTTAAAGCTATTTTTTTTTCACCCTGTTGAACATTCACATCATTTTTGTACAAGAAAAAACAGTTCGTTACACCATGGCGGGGCATGTTGTCACAGTGGAAGCCTTGTTTGATAGAATTTACAAAAAAATATTATTAAAATTATTCCGAACACATAACGTTACTGTTAGAGAAAACAAACATTTATGACTTTTTTTTATTGCATTTCAAGTCTTCTCATGTTATGTGAGGGATGTCTTAATAATGATAGTCAGTTTGTCACATCAAATACATTACATTTACAATTATTAATTTAGCAGATGCATTTATCTAAACGACTTACAAGAGTGGATTATTCATAATACATTAAATGGCACATGTTTGTTTAAAATAGCTCCACGCCTCCCAGCCAACCAGAAATAGAAATGTGAATCAATGTTCTGTCCTTACCACACACACACACACACACACACACACACACACACACACACACACACACACACACACACACACACACACACACACACACACGCCAACATAAATCAATACTCAAAGTGAACAGAAACAATGTCACATTGGTGGTTAGTTCAGTCTCCACTGGTATTTAAAGTTGCAGTGGATAATAAATGTTGAATGTTGAATTCATCAGATTAACAGCAGAAGAAGGAACAGAGAGAACTGAGGGATTTTTGGGGCTAAAGAGATTTACTCACGAACGATGATTCTAGATCTGGAAAGATTAGTGTGTGAAACTGGATGCTAGCCTTGCACACGTGTGTGTGTGTGTGTGTGTGTGTGTGTGTGTGTGTGAGAGAGAGAGATAATCTGTGTGTGTTTGAACAAGATGAGATTATGTCACAACAAAGATGCTGATGAACAATAAATGAACATTAATACGAAAGTTATCCTAAATTATGTTTATTAAATATTTATTATAATAATTTTTATAATTGTATAATTAGACAATTTATGGCGACACTTTACAATAATGTTCCATTGGGGACATTTAATTTAATATTCAACAATATTATTGATCTCCTGCATTGACACTATTATACAAGAACTGAACTGAGCTGGACGATGACATCACGGTTTTCTCCAGAGCGGCTATATATATATAAATTAACTAAATTAATAACTTTTTTACAACAGAAATGAAGCATCACTGATCTTACTTAAGCTGGACTGTGACGCTATTTTCTCCTGGAAACACACTTTGTTGCATTATTCTCCTGTTATCTCTGTAAAGCTGCTCTGACACACTCTGTGTTGTAAAAGCGTTGTATAAATAAAGGAGACTTGACTTGACTTGACATTACTTAAATACAAAGTTGTGTCTTGAAACTCCACATGGCACAGGCTGATGGGTCCTTAACTCTGCCTGCAATCACATCATTATAGTCAAGTCACCTTCATTTATATAGCACTTTTAACAATATAGATTGTTTCAAAGAAGCTTTACAGTGATAATATAGGGCACAGCTGATTGGTTCCTGCTGTATCAGCAGCCAATGAGCTTGTTGCTCAAACTTCATAAACGTGGTCAGCATTTGCTGTAGCAGTTACAGCACTTTCAGAAACCCTCCACCTTCCCCAGCTCCACCTGTATAGATCTGCTATGGGTGATTCATGTATGCTATACTGTACAGCAGCCGCATGTCTGTCTTGCTCACAGCAGCGTGTCATCTATGTATTGGCAGGAGCAAGTCCCATACTTGCTTTGCAGCAGCAGCAACAATAACTAACAGCAGCAACATCAATAACAGTAGCATCAGCAATAACAGCAGCATCAGCAATAACAGCAGCAGCAATAACAGCAGCAGCAAATAGCAGCAATAACAGCAACAATAACTAACAGTAGCATCAGCAATAATAACAAAAACTAGCAGCAACAATATCAGCAGCAGCAGCAATAACAGCAGCAGCAACAACAGCAGCAATAACAGCAGCAATAGCAGCAGCAGCAATAACAGCAGCAACAGTAATAACAGCAGCAGCAAAAACAGCAGTAATAACAGCAGCAGCAGCAGCAGCAATAACAGCAGCAACAGCAGCAGCAGCAATAACAGCAGCAGCAATAACAGCAGCAGCAATAACAGCAGCAATAACAGCAGCAGCAGCAGCAATAACAGCAGCAGCAGCAGCAATAACAGCAATAATAGCAGCAGCAATAACAGTAGCATCAGCAATAACAGCAGCATCAGCAATAACAGCAGCATCAGCAATAACAGCAGCAGCAATAACAGCAGCAGCAAATAGCAACAATAACAGCAACAATAACTAACAGCAGCATCAGCAATAATAACAACAACTAGCAGCAACAATATCAGCAGCAGCAGCAATAACAGCAGCAGCAATAACAGCAGCAATAACAGCAGCAATAGCAGCAGCAGCAATAACAGCAGCAGTAAAAACAGCAGTAA